GTGGGGAAAAGAGAGAGAAAAAAAAAAAGCACAACTGCATTGGCCGGGAATCGAACCCGGGCCTCCCGCGTGGCAGGCGAGAATTCTACCACTGAACCACCAATGCTGATGATGAAGAAAGGTTCTGCAACCAGCTACTTGTACTTTCCTAGCTATGTTCCTTTACCTAGATGATCCTCAGAGGTTTGTATTGTTTCTTTGCACAACAAAATTCTAGTGCAAACTCCCCTTATACATCAAAATTAGGAATTTTTTTTTTTTTTACTATTTAACGCTATTATAAATGCTGGAGGCAAGACATGTTTTGGGGGTCAATGCTGACAGTTTGTGACCCATGTAATAATCTCACAAACGCCTGAGAGTCACAACTGCTAGTTTGAGAGACTCTGATTTAGAAATTTCATTTAAGATTAAATGAATATCTAGTTTCTATTTGCTTTCTGAGCAAAAAGAGCCCAACCAATCAATGCCTTGCACACCTGCCCTGAAAATTCACTCACTTACTCAAAATATCCTTGGCCTCCTTTTATCCTGACAATAGTTGGGGGGAGGGGGGCGGAATATTCAATTTTCCTGTTATAAATTAATTAGTCACTGTGACAGAAAACTCAGGACATATAGAAGCCCTTCAAAAATGTCCTGGAATGTCATTAGTGCTAAATTCTGGGCTACCCTTTACCAGGATAATAATGGAGAAAAAAACATATCTCACTTGTCCATCAAATCAACCAATTATTAGCTATGTGCAAGCAGAATTTTGCAAGTTCTGCAACAGATACATAAAAACTATTCCCATTTCCCTCACCCCTTTCCCCAGTTCTGTGTATTTCATCCTATTCTTTCTCCCCTCCATTCTCTTGCACCCCTTTGTGTATAATTCAATTCATATGGTCTTCTTTAATCTCAGAGAAAACTAGATTTACTCTGCTGAGTAGATACAGCGGCGGATTTAGGGCAGGGCGAGCGGGGCGGCGGCCCCGGGCCCCATGCTTCCAGAGGCCCCGCGCATGCACCTTGGCACCACGGCGCATGCGCAGTGTCAAAGGGGGGGCCCCGTGAAATTTTGCTGCCCGGGGCCCCGCGGCACTCTCATCTGCCCCTGAGTAGATATACAGGTTGGACCCCTCTGCCTCACAAAGCTCTGCTGCTATCAGGGCACTGCTGTGGATCTGGGGCTGCTGGGGCTCCATTGCCCCTGGGCTCCACCACCCCAGGGCCCCCACCACCCCAGGGGCTCTGCAAGTCCTGGGGCTACCAGGGCTCTGTGGCCACCACCAGGGCTCCACAGCCAGCCCCAGGGCTGCCATGCCCCCAGACTCCCAGCGCTGCTCCCTGCCACTGGACCCCCAGGACTCGCTGCTGGGATGTTGCCAGACCAGAGAATCCAGGACCAGAGAGGTTCAACCTGTAAATGAAAATCCCACCATTTATTTGTACTACAGTGTCCAGGAAGTAGATCTCTGTAGATGTTCTAGGCTGAGGTTGATGTCAATAATAGTCACATAAACACCACACTACACAGGAACCCTACTGACCTATTCTTACCTACATACCTCTAGTTTCCACCCAGAACACATCACATGATCCGCTGTCTCTAGCCAAGCCCTAAGATATAACTGTGTCTGCTCCAATCCCACAGAGAGAGACGAACACCTACAGCAGCGTTTCTCAAACTGTGGGGTCGCGAGCAACTTACAGGGGGGTTGCAGCTGGATCCGTTTTTTTTTATGCAAAAATTTGTCTCTCCCCGGCATCTCAGTTGCCAAGTGTCCGGTTTTCACCTGGACCCCTGCCGCATCTGGCGGGGGAGGGGGAGTGAGGAGCCCACAGAGTCTAGCAAAGGGGGGGCAGGAGGGGGCAGTTGCTGGGCGCCATGCTAGGGGGGCGCCAGGCTCGGTGGGAGCAGTTTTCTTTTTCTTTTTCTTTTTCTTTTTCTTTTTCTTTTTCTTTTTCTTTTTCTTTTTCTTTTTCTTTTTCTTTTTCTTTTTCTTTTTCTTTTTCTTTTTCTTTTTCTTTTTCTTTTTCTTTTTCTTTTTCTTTTTCTTTTTCTTTTTCTTTTTCTTTTTCTTTTTCTTTTTCTTTTTCTTTTTCTTTTTCTTTTTCTTTTTCTTTTTCTTTTTCTTTTTCTTTTTCTTTTTCTTTTTCTTTTTCTTTTTCTTTTTCTTTTTCTTTTTCTTTTTCTTTTTCTTTTTCTTTTTCTTTTTCTTTTTCTTTTTCTTTTTCTTTTTCTTTTTCTTTTTCTTTTTCTTTTTCTTTTTCTTTTTCTTTTTCTTTTTCTTTTTCTTTTTCTTTTTCTTTTTCTTTTTCTTTTTCTTTTTCTTTTTCTTTTTCTTTTTCTTTTTCTTTTTCTTTTTCTTTTTCTTTTTCTTTTTCTTTTTCTTTTTCTTTTTCTTTTTCTTTTTCTTTTTCTTTTTCTTTTTCTTTTTCTTTTTCTTTTTCTTTTTCTTAACAACTTTGGAGCAGTGAAGGTGGAGGGGTCACACAAATTCATTTAGCATTTTAGCATGTTGCGGTATCACAAAGTTTCAGAACCCCTGACCTACAGGATTTTATCAAGCAGTTTTAAAACTTAAATATCCACCTGGGGAAATGAAGAAACAGAATGACAGAGCCAGACAAGTACCCAGAAGTCACCTGCTTCAGGACAGGCCCAACAATCTAAATAACAGAACACAACTGGTCATCATCTACAATCCCCAGCTAACCCCACTCCAGCACATCATTGACAATCTGCAACCTATCCTGGAAAAGGATCCCTCATTCTCACAGACCATGGGAAACAGGCCAGTCCTCATCTATAGCGAGCCCCCCAACCTGAAGCAAATACTTACTAGCAGCCACATACCACACCTCAGATACACTCACCCAGAAACCTACCCCTGCAACAAACCCCATTGCCAACTCTGTCCACATATCTATACAAGCAACACCATCACAGGACCTATCACATAAGCCACCTCATCAGGGATTCATCCACCTGCACATCCACTAACGTGATCTATGCCATCAAGTACCAGCAATGCCCCTTTGCCATGTATTTGGCCAATTGGACAGTCTCTGTGCCAAAGGTTAAATGGACACAAATCCAACATCAGGAATAGTAACACAAATAAACCTGTAGGGGAAACTTTAATCTCCCTGGACATTCAGTAATGGATTTGAAAGTAGCCATCCTTCTACAAAAGAATTTAAAAAATTGGTTACAAAGAGAGACAGCAGAACTGGAATTCATATGCAAATGAACACTATCAATTTAGGATTTAATAAGAATTTCAACTAGTTAACACATTACAAAGGCAGATTTCCCCTCTCTGAATATTCACATCTCCAGACTAAACACTTCCACCCTGACTTGATTAGCTTCATTAACACAAGCAACTTTTTCCTTATGTATACTTCTGCTTTGTAACTTCCACTCCAATTCATCTGATGAAGTGGGTTTTACCCATGAAAGCTTATGCCCTAATACAGTGGTTCCCAACCTGTGGTCCACAGATCCCTGGGGGTTCACAGGGCACTGAAAGTGGTCTATGCAAAGTTTTTAAAAGTAAGGTTCAGGCCCACCATGGGCCTTTCTTTTCCTTTTCTTCTCCCCCACCCTCCCCACCGAGAGCAGGAGCAGGGGAAGGGGCAGCAGCTGTGTGCGTCGGGTTGCAGTTTGCTTTTGATCCTGTTCTCCAGATGCTAAGGGAGCAAGGAGAAAGTGCTTGCATCCCGTATATGCCTCTCACACACCAGCCAGGTGTGAGAGGCATGTATGGCATGCAAGCACTTAACCCCATGCACCCTTAGCTTCTGGAGAACAGGATCAAAAGCAAGCCATGTCCTGGTGCACATGGCTGCTGCCCTGACCCGCACTCCCAAAGTTCTGTCCTTGCCCCCTACCCTCCCAAAATTCCACCCTTGAGGAGCTGGCAGCTGCAGAGCTCCTTTTGGCCAAGAGAGCCCCCTTGCTCCATGGATGGACAGGGGATGGAGGGCACAAGAGCTGAGGAAACCGCGTGAGCAAACAGCAGCCAATGGGACTTAAGAAGCTCCAGGCCCTGCAGTCTGCATGTCCTTCAGTCCATACTGAAGCTGACAAGCTGTGACTGTCCTCTGGAGTCAGCTTGTAAACAGGTCAGTAACTTTTTACCATTCTATCATTTTACCATTTTTTTCTCTTTTTTGAATATGTCACCTGGCTCTAACTGTTCAAAAGCTATTAGAGTTGCTATTAGTTGGGCTAGCAAAAATGGATCATTTGGGGGGGGCCGTGACATTTTAATAGATTGAAAAGGGGTCCGTATGCTCAAAAAGGTTGGGAACCACTGCTAATAAATCTGTTAGTCTCTAAGGGCATATCTACACTAGAAAAGAGATAGCAGAACTGGAATTCATATCTAAATGAACACTATCAATTTAGGATTGAATAAGAATTTCAACTAGTTAACACATTACAAAGGCAGATTTTCCCTCTCTGAATATTCACATCTCCAGACTAAACACGTCTACCCCAAAATAACTCTTTTGAAATAGTGTGTCCACACTATAGGGAAGCCTCGAAATTAGTCAGAGGCAGGCTCTCTTAATGTGGACACGCTACCTCCATTTAGAGCCCCAAGAAGCAGTGGATAGCAATTACTTTGCATGATTCTGGGGAGTAGTTATTTCGAGATAGCAGCAGTGGAGCATTCACGCTACCGCTATTTCAAAATAAGCGTTATTACTTGTGGAAAGCAGGAGTTATTATTTTGAAATAACCAGCCCGTTATTTCGAAATAATGAGCTTGTCAATGTGGACACTCCACTTGTTATTTCGAAATAACTTCCTAGTGTAGACCATTGGACTTCTTATGGTTTTTGCTTAATGATCTACACAGGTTGACAGGGAACATGCCGTGCCTGAAATATCAAGTTACTGTTGTTATTCTTTTTCAGTGCTGCATGCAGGGTAGTTGTAAACAAATTGGTCTTGGCATATCAGAGAGGCAATTTAGCCACATTATCATTCTTTTTCAGATCAAGATTCTTTAAACCTAGTATTTTACCAAACAGGTACAGCGATGCCTTGTCACTTCTCTGGAGTCCTGCCACAATCCTACCTGCCACAATCCTTCCCGCAGTTTGAGGAAGGGGAAGAAGGACATAATGTTTCTTTTGAGAATACATTCGTTCAAAATTATATCCATTTTTCAAAGTAGTTTTTCAACAGGTCTGTACAGACCTGCTCTCCTCTTTCCTCTACCATTATATTTGGGATTCAGAATCTTCTGCATATTGATTTTTCTTCATAGCATCTCTTTTTTATTTCTTTCCCTTGAATACCATTTTGTTCCTAGCCATTTTGCATTTTCAGTTTCCCATAGCTTTCTTCCAAGGCTTTGCTGAGGGACACTTTAGCCTGTGGTGTCCATACAGTTCTGAAGCCACTATAATGGCTACTGCTATAGCAAACTAGCCACATTCATCCGGTCAAACAGCCACATATGACTAATGGCTACTGTGTTGGACACCATGGCTTTAGGGAATACGCCCTATCTCAGCTTTTTTTTGTTTCATTTGCTGGCTCTAGCATCTTATGCAATACCAAAATGACCACTATGGTTCTCAAAAAAAAAAAAAAAATTTTTTTTCAAGAGATGTGACAAAAGCGGGGATTAGCTCAGTGTTTCTAAATGCTATTCTTTAGATTGGATGAGGGGTATGAGATACATAGAATAGAACATCCATAGATAAAG